ATGATGGCATTCCGCTCTTTCCAGGATTGGGGTTCCCAGGTGCACGGTTTCCCCTCTAGTTCTGGGAGATTATTGTTAAAGAGTGGTACTGGTCCTTGAGTGTTTTGCTCTATTTTCTTCCCATTTTTTTTCTCTTCCTCCCTCCCATTTTGCTACAACTAATCTCCCCCGTGTGCGATGGGGGCCCTCGCCCTTCCAGGAGCCTCAGCCCTGCGGTCTGGCTGCCTCCCAGGCTCTCTGCCCTCCTCCTTACGGTTCCCTTTCCCCCTCACCTTTCTCCTCTCCCTCCTGCCGGCTCCACCCACTCCATCCCACCCACCCCGCCCGAGTTGAGAGCCATGAGCTCAACCCTACACTGGGTGCGCTTCCAGCCTTGCCGGTTGCCACCCCCGCGAGGACGAGAAATCTACCGGAATATAGGCTTTTTCGGAAGAACTTTCTCTAGAAAACACCTGATTTCCATCCTCAGGGGTCTTGAGAGGACTAAAAGCTAACGACGACCTTGTACTCATTCAAAAAGCGCTAATGGAGCCCCCGGTGAGTGGCAGACCCTGTTCTCCCCGAGAGAACCCAGGAGCGAGCACCCGCAGGACCCTGACCTCCCCCGGGGCGGGACGCCAGCATCCCAGGACGAGGACGGCGGCGGAAGCTGCGCAGCGGCCGGGAGGACAGCTCCGTAGGGTGGGCCCGGGCCGTTCCTGGGTGAAGGCGGCACAAAAAGAAGGGGAACTGCCAGGACGGTGCCCGAGTGCATTTCAGCTGTCCTGAAACCCCACGCGGCTCAGGTGGGGGTCGCTGAGCCGGCGTCTCGTGAGGCGCTGGGTTGTGCAAAAGGCGAGTGGCAGGGCACCTTCCGGTGCCCTCGTAGCTTCGGAGTCCGTTACCCAACGCACGGGTTTGTAGTGTGACCAAGACGGCGAGTCACCGCTGGAACGTCTCCAGTTTCCTGTCTTTGGAATCTGCCGGCTCCACCCAGAAGGTGAGGAAGTCAACACTCCCTAAAGGCATTCAGAAGGCACCAAGCGGTCGGTCTCTGTGGCGCAATCGGTTAGCGCGTTCGGCTGTTAACTGAAAGGTTGGTGGTTCGAGCCCACCCAGGGACGCTCCCTGCTACTTTTAATTCTTCCCCAACCCTGCAGTTACATATCACTCCTATGCCCTCTTCCTGGACTCATATCCACTTCAAAACTGATAGAGGCCAACAGCCACCTGACCTGTGACACGGTCTCACATTTCTCTGGCTCTCCACTTTATCCCTGCCTGACTTCTCCCAGCCCACACTCTTTACTACCAGCTTTGCTACAAGAAAAAGCCCTAGTCTGACCATTACAGGCTTGCTAGGACCACAGTTATGTTCCTCAATTTTTTCCATCGCTAACATAAGCCAGCAGACCAGAGCAATGATCAGCAATAAATACCCTCTCCATTATTATTTTTTTTTTGAGAGGTTTTCGCTATAGGGCACGTGCACTCGCCAGACAGACAGAGAGAGACATAGAGACAGAAAGCGAGAAATCACCCCCCAGGGGGGATGGTCACGCCGCAATCCCTTCTCCTCCATTCTCCTCTCGGGATCTTGGGCACACACGCACACACACCCGGCATGAGTTCTAAGCCACCGGGTCCGGGACTCGAACCGCGTTCAACTACGTGGGAGTCCAGCCCATTACGCCAACTGCTGGTTCCCCCTCTCCATTTTTTTTTTTTTTTGGAGAGGTTTTTGCTATAGGGTGCGTGCGCTCGCCAGATAGACAGAGAGAGACATAGAGACAGAAAGCGAGAAATCACCCCCCAGGGGGGATGGTCACGCTGCAATCCCTTCTCCTCCATTCTCCTCTCAGGATCTTGGGCATGCACGCACACGCACCCGGAGTGTTTTAAGCCACCGGGTCCAGGATGCAAACCGCGGTCAACTACGTGGGAGTCCAGCGACATAGCCATCACACTAACTGCTGGTTTCCTCCATTATTTTTGAAAGAACAAACAAACTCATCCTGGGCCAGCAGGTGGCACAGTGGTTAAGGAGCTGGTGGACCACATGGCAGACAGTCATTCAAGTCCCGGATCTGGTAACTTGAAACTCACCTGGCACGCCTGTAAACCCACATCACAAGAGGAGGATGGAGAAGGGATTACAGAGTGGTCATCCCCCCTGGGGGGGTGATTTCTCACTTTCCCTCTCACTGTCTCTCTCCTCTCCTGTGAGCACAATAAGGCAAAAACCTTAAAACAACAACAAAAAACCCTCATCCTTAGTTTGTGCATTATTTATACACCCTTTACAAAGTGTCTTTGAAAGCAGGCTTCGCAGTTTTTATTAGACAGCGCCGCAGTCGTCATTCTTGCGCACGCATCTTTGTTAGCCGTGCAGGGGTTTCTGGAGTGCAGAGAACTGAATGTAGACTTGCTGCTCCGCTGTCGATGATCTTTCCAGTTTTAGTGGATTCTGCCAAGTTACCTTCCACGGAAGTGGTACCCTGTCATCTACCCATCCCTTTCCCAGCTCTATCAGTGTCGCTTCTTAGTCTCCTGGCCAGCACAGCACAGTTCCTGCGTCCGTCTCTGATATTCCGATAGGGGAGGTGCCCTCCTGGGTTACTGGGGGAGAGGCCCAGCACCGTGGGCCCTCTGGACATGGCACACAGGTCCTCTCCTGCATCTGCTGGACAGCTGAACTGGGGATGATTTAAAGTCCTTAGAAACTGTACTTGTTAAAAAAATAATAACTGTACTTGGTCTTCTATGGCGAATTAGTCAAGTGGGTTCAGAGAGGTCTGGCCAGAGTGACCTCTTTCTTAGCTTCCCACAAAGCTGCTTATCCAAGGGGAGAAAATCATTTTCTACTCCTCCTTTTGTTCTGTATAAATGTTTCTGCTTTCATTTGATAAAAACAATTTCTCTGTTGTGTCCGAACAGATTGTTGTGGGAGTTTGGAGGGGCTGTGTCCATAAAACAAACCCATCTGAGACACATCACTGAACCTAGTAGAATCTTGCACGTGTCAGGCACCTCCTTCAGACTGGACCTCAGACCTTGTGAGTGACTCACGTTCATTCAGTTCTGTTGCGTCTCATGAGCGGAAGTTGAACCCTGTGGCTGTGCATACTACATATGCTTCCTGGACACGCCTTTCGTCCTCTCTCCTGTTGCTGCACCATTATTTATCCCATCAGTGGCAGCCACGTGGGTTTCCGGTTTTGATGTTCTGGAGTGGGCTTCTGGGGACACTCTCCATTGGGTGGTGGTTGGCAGGGATCCACTCCCCGTTTGGTGGTAGGTGATAGCTCACTTCATCTGTGACTCTTTTTCTATTACCTAGTATCCTGAGCATTCTGGTATTTCTTGTCTTTAAGACTCCAGCAACAAGAATTGGTTCACATCTTGTCCTTCCAATACTTGGTAAAAATCTTATAGGCCCAGGAGCTGTCAGCATCTGCAGGGATGGCATATCTGTAAAGAGGATGATTTTTTTTTTTTGAGGATTATCTTTCTTTAAAAAAATAATTATTTATTTTTATTTTATTCAGTATTATCACTATTATTAATTTGAACAGAGAGACAGACAAAGGGAAAGTGAAAAGGCAAGTTGCTGAGTCTAGGACTCGAACCGCAGTTGGTCATGTGAGGAATGTAGCACCTTAGCCACCATACCACCTGCCAGCCCCAGAGGGTATTAATACACAGTGGTCTTCTCTTTCCACAAGAACTCTTGGCTTTAATTAACTACCACACCTGGGATGGGCAGGTGGTGTAGTGGTTAAGGTGTTGGGCTCCCACATGGCTAACCATGGTTTAAGTCCCAGACCTGGCACTTGGCCTTCTCATTTCCTGTCTCTCTCTGGTCACATAAAACAATAATAATACTTATGAATAAAAATTAAATGAAAAATGTTAAAAGAAATGAATAAATTGTTATACCTAAAGGGGATCTGAGTGCAGAAAGAAAACTGAATTTCTAGCATGCAAGGGGCAGCTCTCCTTGACTGGTATACCCAAATTTCTAAATGGCTGAACAAAATCAGAGGGTCTTTCAGGACTGTTAACTCACACTACACGGAAGAGAGGAAAGACACTTTCTGTCATCACAACTGAATCAGCAACATGAGCACATCCGGCAACTGCACAAACGAAGATGTCATAATTTCCAGGAATTTACACAAGTTCAGCCTTTAGAAAAAATGGAGGAAAAGCCATGATTCATGTCCTGAAAAAAAAGAATGCACCCTCAGACTCTTAAGGGTGTCAAGAGATTATACAGATTTTATCAGAGAAAGGCTCCAGAGATCTGATGGTCCCTAGGTATTTTGCTCTCCTTCCCTCCCTGCCAAGCATTGTTAATAGACACCAAGGCCTTTGTTTCCATGTTCAATAATGTTACTCACCTTTGACATGCTCATTACTCTGGTGGATTTTTTTTTTTTTTCCCCAAAACAAAGTATTTTCTCAAGAAACAAAGTAACATACTTTGTCTTCCTTTGAAAGACACATCTGGTCTCCGGAAAGGTTTCTTTCTTTCTTTTTTAGAGTGAGATTTTTGCTATAGGGCAAGTGCACTTGCTGGAGAGAGACAGAGAAATAGAAAGCGAGAAATCACCCCTCCCCAGGGGAAACGCCCTCGCGGTGGGTGGGTATTGGGGTGGGTATTGGCCATGCAGCAATCCCTTTCTCCTCTATTCTTTTCTTGGGAATTTGGGCACTGGCGGCTGACTACTTGGGAATCCAGTGATGTAGCCATTATGCCATCTGCTGGTCTTATCGGGAAAGTTTTCTTTAAGCTTAAGGAGTTCCTGCCTATTTATCTTAGGATAGTGGTTATCTCTTCTATACATTGTTCCCTGTTGACAGTGGGGCATGGAAAAGTAGCTGAATTTTGTAGTTTGAAGCACTGATGGTTGTACTAGGTAGCACCCAAGGTTTTCATACCAGAGATAAATTTTGTTGGTATGGTATAATTATTAGGATGTTCTCCCCAAAGGCAGGAAGTTACAGGTTCAAGAACTGACCAGGGCATTGGCTGATCTTTGGACAGAACATTAGATTTATATGAGAATGATTTTCCAGAAGGAAGAAGAAGGAAGGACAAAGGTAGGCTGGGCTGGGGGACTGGCTACATCCTTGACCACCAGAAGGAGGAGCACAGCACCACCTCCAACCCAGCTTGCACTAGGGAGCAGGCCTGACTTCTCTGCTGGAAGCGTGGACACGCCCAAAGGACCAGGCTGACTTTTGTAAGCTTAGATCCTGATTCCCCAGCCTCCTCATCTATCGCCCAGATCTTCTCTGCAAGCTGACAGGTTTTATGTCTCTCAAAGCCAAATACTTTCCTGGGAAGCCCACGTGGCCTTCCCATCACCAAACACATGTGGACACGGGATTTGTGGGTCAGAACGAGGAAAGCAAACCTTTTCTTTTCCCTGTTTCAGTTGTATGAGACACTGCTCTGAGCTTCGAGTTCACAAACTGCTGTCAAAAATCAGAAACAATTCAATGAATTTGTTCACAGTCTGCTTGAATCTGGAAAGCTCAGGAGACCTGGGCAAGAGGAGATTTCCCACCGGACTGAGAAAAAGCGAGGGCTCCTAGGCGGAAACTCTGTCTCCAGACCTCAGGAACAGAGGGAGAAGATGTCCCTACAGTCTTAGAGATGCTGCCTCCCGGGGGTGATGGCTAGGCAGTGACTTGCCGTCAGGGTCCTAGCTGCTGAGCCGAGCCTTTCCCACATCTGGGGACTCCTGCCCCTTGCTGGCAGAGCCCTCCCCCTGTGTACAGGGAACACTGACACTGGGCTTCCCAGCCTCTCAGCAGGGGCATGGCCACGTGACCTGGACACCCCAATTAGGCCAAGCCGCATGGAGGTCTGCATCTCAAGCTGACGTCATGAGGAAACTGGCACCTGATGGAAGGAGAGCCGGTGACACCACTTTTCCCAGAAGCAGTTAGTCAGGAGTGACACTGTGCCTCTCTTGGCTCCAGGTCTCTGACCCCAGCTGTGGCAGTGGTGACTCCAGGTCCTGCTGTGCTGTGAGGTTTCTCTGTTCTATAAAATATGAAGTCGTGTGAGGCAGGTAGGCTTGTGCGTAGACAGCAGTAACCCGCTTCATACGGAAACATAATGCATTTCAATGATCTCGTGTCACACATACTTTAAAAAGGCGAATCATCGAATGTGAATTGCATCTGAAGAGATAAATAAAACCCAAGGCTCTGTGTGCAGATATGGTTACCTGCCTCTTAGTTACATATTTAGGGGTGCATTGCTGAGTCCTGTAGTAACCCTTCCCTTTGTGGGTAAGTGAGATTCCTGGTGGATCAACAAGGAATTCGAACCACAGACGAGAGCAGAGCAGCTGGAGTGAGGAGCTGTCCCAAAGCCAGCACCGGAAGTAAGCCAGGCTCCCTGCCTCCTGCCACCTTCTCCCTCTCTCCGGTCTCTGTTCTTTCCTGTCCCTCCAGTTGCTCCCTCAGATACCTAGGAGGAGCCCTCACTCCCCCTTTTTTCCAGAGTATCCAAAATGAGTTCCCCAAACCACTTGAATTTCAGTCCTCCTAACTGTGCAAAGTTTCAAGTGCCAAAAAAGCCAAGAAAGGTCGGGGAGAGCACTTTAAGCAGGTGGGAAGGTTCTCCAGAGTCCCCGTCTAAGTGTCCCCTGAATGAAGGGGATGGAAACGCATTTTGCCCTCCGGTCCTCCACTGGCGTCTTCCCGGAGCAGAGCCCTGGCGGCAGGACGGGACCCGGGGACCCTAGGCAGGGATCTCAGGCCTGGATCTCTGTTCCGGGAGGGGACCCGGCCGGCAGAGGGGCAGATTCAGGTCGCTGCGCCCCCGCCGGCCCCGACCCGGACTCAGCCTCCTTTCCCCCGGCGGGAAGGAATCGATGGACTGAAATGGCCCCGACTCCCTGACCCGTGACCCGCGACACGCCCTGGTGACCTCAGGACGGAGCCCAGACGCCATCTCGTATAAACGCTCTCCTGCCTGGGAGGAAACCGGGACTCGGCCGGTTCCTCGGTGTCGGGGCGAAAGACACCCCGGGGTGCAGGAGTTAGCGGGGCGACCTCTTTAGGGGACCCCCCCCCCGGCAGGGGCCACCCCGGACAGTTTTCCGCGTGGGGCGGGCGGCGGGGCTTGGGGTGGCGGCGACGAGCAGAGCTGCCGGGCCAGGCGGCTCCCCGAGAGCGGGACACCCCAGGATCCGCCACCCCGACTCTGGGTGTCGGTCCTTCGCTGTGAACCGGGCCAGTCCGGGCGCCGGTTTCGGGGAGCCAGAATCCTAGTGGGGGCGGGGAGCGGAGCCGGCTGCGCGGAGAAAATGGAGGAGGGAAAGGGAGACGCGGGGACCTGGAGCAGCCGGGCCGGAGCCTCCTTCCCGGGAAAGACCTCCCTCTCCCCGCGACCAGGACGAGGAGGGGCCGGGAGGGAAAGGACGTCGTTTACTGCGTGAGAGGCGCGTTCCCCCCGGAGGGTGCTGCGCTGCCAGAGCAAAAAACAGCTTCACAGCTGCAGAGGTCCCACCGAGACTTGAACTCGGATCGCTGGATTCAGAGTCCAGAGTGCTCACCATTACACCATGGAACCACCTGGGCTGTCTTCTCAGGGAGGAGTCCTTTCCCCTGAATCCTGTCCCAGGATTTTCTCCTGGTCAGTAGCTCCACAGGCCCTCATCTATTGGGGCAGGTTCGTCTTCAGGTTTGTGTCTCCTAGGACAAGAACTATCCTAAATCCCCTCTGGGATTAGGGACAGGGAAGGGGTCTCCAGGCCTCCCACTCCCCAGGGAAGTGTCCTTTTCCTTTTCTCTGAAACTGTCCTCTCCCCTCAAACATGAGGCTGATGAGGTCGGAACTGGTTTGGAAAGTCCTGGGATTGTCTCTGTCTCCTGCTCTGTCTCACTCAGACCCTCTCTCTCTGCCTCTCCTCACCCTCCTCTTCATCCTCCAGCTCCTCCCTCTCCCCAGCCTCAGTCCTCCCTGTCCCCTGCCCCTCCCTGTCTGCACAGCACAGGCTCCAGGACACTGGGAAGGGCGGCCACAGTCTGAGGAAGAGGAGGAACGTGTTCACTGAGGCCCGTGCTTCCCTGGTCAGCAGCCTTCAGGGGTCAGTGCTGGAGAGACAAGGTGGGGTGCCCTGGCCCGCCCCCCCCAGCCAGTCCTGGAGGCCTTACGCCAGCATGTGACACTGCTGGAACTGGGGTGACCCCGAAGTACAGTACCTGGCATTCTACACGGCTCTCAGCTGCCTGTCAAATCGGGATTTGCTCCAGCTTTGGGATTGCCACTGCTCCAAGTGAGAAAGGTGGTGTCCTTGTTTCGCCCCCTCGTGGCCACGTGGGGTGCTGCGCACAGTGCCCTGGGCTCCTGGAGCCAGAGCCAGGGAGACAAGATGGGAAGAATAAGCTACATCCTGAGATAGAGGTAGGAAGAATAGGGGTCTGCTCCTCCCTGCTGGCTACAAGAGGGTGTGAGAAACAACGGTTTGGCTCTAGGATTCAGGATGTGGGTTGTGTCGAATACGGGTCAGGGCATCACTGCTGAGCAGAAGAAACACTCATGAGCCATAAACCTGCCAGCCTCCTGCAGCTGCCCTCCGGGTTTCACAGTCTCAGTGGCCCAGACACTCTGCCCACGCTCTCCACACCCACCTGTGCACGAGCCGACATCAGAGCGTCTACACACTTGTCACTCCTCAGCAGAGAATGGGGTCCCGTCCTGCTTGTACGGGAGTGGGGGTGGAGGCTTTATCCCTTAGACTTGAGTTAGACAAGTCAGATTTGTAGAGAATTACAAACAAACAAACAAACAAACTGGGCTGACATAGGATAATTCTTATTTCCCTTAGGGAAGTTAGTGTGGAGGAGAAAATTCAGGTTTTTCTCTGTGTATTTTATCATGTAATAACTTACAAAGAAAAGAGATCCATGTGTTCCTTGTGTTCAAAAAAAAAAAAAAAAAAGAAAAGAAAGAAAATTTAAAAAGACCAAAAAAATGAGAGAGAGGAGGATTCAGATGGCAATGTGGAGGCAAATTAATCAGTGAAGGAGAAGGAGAATCTCTGGAAGAGAGCGCTGAGAGGGAGCCGGAGTTCTGGAAAGGTCCCGGGGAGCAAAGCAGGAGCTTCGCAGGCCGGCTAGGGCAGAGCACGGTGGTCTGACCACGGGGCTGAGCAGCTTCCCGCAGGGAGGCTGCTCTGAACCGATCCCGTCATCTCCTCTACTGCGTGGCTCTCAGGACCACCTCTCCTTCCTAAGAAGTGGTGGCAAGTCAGGGCTGTACTTGGGAAGTGAGGGTTACGTCATGTGATGAGCAGCTTCATAATAATTGGGCTCCATCTCCCACGCTAGAGGACCACCTGGCCACCCACAGAGCAGTCCTTTGCAGCCGTAAAGTGAGGGCTCGCTCGACAAGCCGACACGGCCTTGCTTCCAGGAAAAGCTTTTTGCGTGGAATAAAGAGCTAGGCACAGAGAAAGGTGTTAAGGCAAATGGGAAAATAGATACGCTCGTTTTGCTGGAAGGCTAGGCTAGATTTTTTTAAAAATATATTTAACTTTATTTATTTATTTATTTATCTTATTTTAATTTGACCAGAGAGGGACAGAAAGAGAGAAAGTGAGAAAGCCAGCTGCCAGGGCCACAACTCGAACCGCGATCAGCCATGTCCAGTGCCCTTAACCACCATGCCACTGGCCAGCCCCTAGAAAAAGTTTTTTAAGAGAGATTTTTGCTGTAGGGAGCATGCACTTGCCAGAGAGACAGAGAGAGAGAGAGAGACAGAGCCAGAAATCGTCCCCCAGGGGGGTGACCACACCACAATCTCTTCTCCTCCATTCTCCTCTCAGGATTTTGGGCACACACGCACATACCACAGTGTAATTTTCAAGTCCCTGGGTCTGGAGCTCAAGCTGCGGTCAGCCAGGTGGGAGTCCAGCAATGTAACCATTATGTCATCTGCTGGTCCCGTTAAAGTGTTTTTATCTACATGTGCATGGAAATGGGTTCTCAGATGTTGAGATGGGAGAAATATATCTACTTTATATATATATATATATACATATACACACACACATTTTACAGTTTTAAAGTTTTATTGTCTTTTAGTCATATTTTTAAAAATTATTTCAATAACTTTATTTATTTGTTTTAAGTTGACCAGAGAGGGACAGAGATAAAGAGGGAAAGTTAAAAAGCAAGCCACCAGGTCCGAGAATCAAACCACTGTCCATCACGTGGGAGTCCAGTGCCCTTAACTGCCACGCCACCTGCTGGCTACTTTTGCGTTATTTAATTAATTAATAATTATTTTTTAGAGAGGTTTTCACTATAGGGTGAATGCCCTCTCTGGAAAGGCAGAGAGAGACAGAGAGACAGAAAGCAAGAAATTATCCCCCAGGGGGAATGGCCACGCTGCAATCCCTTCTCCTCCATTCTCTGCTTGACTTGAACTGCGGTCGACTACATGGGAGTCCAGTGACATAGCCATTACTCCATCTGCTGGTCCCTTTTGTGTTATTTTAAAAATGAAGTTAAATTGCATTTCATTTTTTCCCAGGTATTACACATACAGATTCTTGAACTATACCTTCAAAAAAAAAAAAAATTCGAGATTACTTCTGATTTCTCCAGTGAAAAGGAAGGGAGCAGTCCTTGTCTGCAGAATAAACTGACAGATGTACAGGTAAGCCCTGAAAACAGTGCTGGGCGATCAGACCCAACATCTATACTGGTTCTTGTAGGGTGCTCACCACGGATTAGAGACAGACAAAGGGAGAGGGTAGTAAGCAAAGTCTGTTAGATACCAGGAATGGAGCAAAGCTTCCAGCTAAATGGAAAGGGGGCCCAAACGGGTTGCAAAAAGGAGCTGGAGGGACCAGCAGATGGGTAATGGTTACGTCGCTGGACTCCCACTTGCCGACCGCAGTTTGAGTCCCGGACCCAGCAGCTTAAAACTCATGCTGGGGGGCTGGCAGGTGGTAAAGGGTGCTGGACTCCCACATGGCCAACTGTGGTTTGAGTCCTGGACCTGGCAGCTTGCTTTCTCACTCCCCTCCTGCCCTCATCCCTCTCTGATCAAATTAAAATAAATAAATACATAAAATACAGTTAAATAAAAATAATTCTAAAAAATAATAAATAAAACCTCACACTGGGCATATATGTGTGCTTGCCCAAAATCCAGAGAAGAGGAGAAGGGACTGCAGTGTGGACAATCCCCCCCCCCCGGAGGGGGAGGGTACCACATGGCTGACCACAGTTTGAATCTTGGACCTGGTAGCTTACTTTCTCACTTTCTCTCTCTTTCTGTGTGTCTCTCTCTGGTCAAATTAAGATAAATGAATGAATAAATAAAATTAAATAAATAGTTCTTTTTTAAAAAAAATTTTTGGAGAGGTTTTTGCTATAGGGCATGTGCACTCGCCAGACAGACAGAGAGAGACAGAGAGACAGAAAGCAAGAAATCATCCTCCAGGGGGGATGGCCACGCCGCAATCCCTTCTCCTCCATTCTCCTCTTGGGATCTTGGGCACACACGCAAACATACCCAGAGTGAGTTTAAGCCGCTGGGTCCGGGACTTGAACCATGGTCAGTTACATGGGAGTCCAGCAACATAGCCATTATGCCAGCTGCTGGTCCCTCATTATTATTTATTTGACTTTTATTTATTTATTTTAATTTGACCAGAGAGAGAAGGAAAGTGAGAAAGCAAGCTGCCAGGTCCCGGATTTGAACCACAGTCAACCATATGGGAGTCCAGTGCCCTTAACCACTACACCACCTGCCAGCCTTAATTAATTTTACTATTTTTAATTTGACCAGAGAGAGAAGGAAAGTGAGAAAGCAAGTCACCAGGTCCGGGACTCAAACCATGATCAGCCATGTGGGAGTCTAGCACCTTAACCACCATGCTACCTGTTGCCTCCCCTCTCTTTTTTTCTTTATTTCTTTCTTATATTTTAAGGATTAACTGGTGGTTGTAGCTCCTGTAACTCATGTAATCTGTAACTATTGTAACAAATAAGGTTATAAATAAGTCTATTTGCTTAGAAGAAGAAACTTAAGTCACTAGTTTTTAGAAAATAGTCACAAGAATGCAGCTGAGACAAGGACCAGAGTCCCAGGCAAGAAATCTTAAGAGATGGGAATGTTGCGGCCAGCAGGTGGCATGTTGGTTAAGGTGTGGAATTCCCACATGGCTGGCCATGGTTTGAGTCCCGGACCTAGTGGCTTGCTTTCTCACTCTCTCTCTCTCTTTCTCTGGCAAAACTCATGTGAAAAATAATATTAACAATAATAATAATAAATAAGTAATTCTTTTAAAGAAAAAAGAGATGGGAATGGTTACTTAAGAGATACAATGTAAACTGAGAGAATTGTAATAATGTTATCGTTTAACATTATATTCAGTAGTTACTCAGACATTTAGATTGTCTTGTTAAATATAACTTAAGAATATGTGTTGTAACTTTCCTTAATCTATCAAGGTATATAAGGCTGAGTGAACAGATTCAGTGTCACCATAAGAACCAAAACAGGGTCATTAATGTCACATGAAAGGAAAAGGTACACAGAACAATTTGGGGAAAATGTGAGGGTAAGAGTAACACATAGTAGCTAAATTCATGTTTTAGATAACAATGGATACCCGAGAAGGGGACCGGTATAGAACAGGCTGGAAATTTCTGTCCTAGGGGTTGGTTGTGAGCTTGTCAGCTCTCGGACACACTCTGTGCTCGAACACAGCTAAATAAACTCCTTTCTCTTTCCTTCTCCTCGCAGTTATTCACAGAAATGGCTGCTTGATTTCAGGCATCAACAATTTTTTTTTTTTTGAGAGATTTTTGCTATAGGGTGCATACACCCACTGGAGAGATAGACAGAGACAGAGAGACAGAAAGTGAGAAATCACTCCCCAGGGGGATGGCCACACCGAAATCCCTTCTCCTCCATTCTCTGCTTGGGATTTTGGGCACGCACACATAAGCGCCTGATTTTTTTTTTTTAAATATTTATTTTGAATTATTTATTTAATTTTATTAATTAATTCATTTCTTTTCATTTGACCAGAGAGAGACAGAGAGAGAGAGAAAGCAAGCCACCAGGTCCAGGACTTGAACCATGGTTAGCCATGTGGTAGTGTCCAGCACCTTAACCACCACGCCACCTGCTGGGCCCCAGCGCCTGATGTGTTTTAAGCCGCCTGTCTGGGACTCTGCGTTTGACTATGTGGGAGTCCAGCGATGGAAACATTAGGTTCAACTACTTGCTTTCTAGCACCCAACTGCAGAAAGACTGGTTCAGGGTTCTAAACGATTGCTTCTGCATTAATCTGTCACTCTAGAGATTGTGACTGGTAGGCTTTCTTTGATTGTGCTGGTCAGAAACGATGTATTTTGGGGACCCATCAGGTGGTGTGGTGGTTAAGGTGCT